TTGCAGATCACCGCGCTTACTGGCGTATGCATATAAAAGCATATAGATATAATTATATATTAGCGGATATGTTTATCTTATTGGGCACTGGCCTGCCTGCGCGCCTGTGCTCGGAGCGTGTGCCGGCAGCGGGGCGGGACGAGAGACGCGGCAGCTCCCCACCCCAGCGCAGCGAGCACGCACAAGCAAAGAGGGAAGCCGCGGGGGGCACGCACATGTTGCGGGCAATATCAACACCACGCGACCATGCAGGCCAGCACTCACCAACAGCACCGGCGAGGGACGAAACGCCCGTTGAAAGGGCACTATTGTATAGGCGGGCGGCGCGCAAACACCCGTTGTGAAGCCCAAAAGAAACGCAGAGGAAATTATCAAAAAGCGCCCAAAACACCACGGACGACGCGGAGCCCAAATGAGCACCGTTGGGGGAATACCCAACGGCACAAAAACACGAACCCGGGAGGAAAATACAAAAAAAGACTTTTTAGCGGCAGAAACGGCGCCAATGCATGCATGCAACTGAACGGGCCGGCCGCCCCTTACGCACATGCGCAAACGGGAACGCATGACCGCTTCTCAGCGCACAGCCAGGCAGGCCACCGCCCCAAGCAGCAGCAGAAGAAGCACCGGCGCACGCACCCACGCATGACCGCTGCTGCCGTCCGCACTGCCAAAGTCATTCGGCAAGCCTTGCCCACTCCCATTCAACACAGTCCCACGTGCAGATGCCGCGGGTTCTGGCCCAGCCAGCTTATGTTCGTCAGTATCCTTCGGTGTGTCTGATTCGACGGGCCTTGTGCCATGCACATCCCCAGTGCCATCCGGTGCTCGGGGGCCGGCGCCGTGCAAATCATCGGAACGCTTCACACGAACGCCATCGGCGACTTCACCTGTGCGCTGGCCACCGGAATGTGTCACCACCTCGTTTTTCACGGTGGCCGTGTGTGCCGTCACCACCCCCCCTGGGCGCGGGGAGGAACCACCGGTGGATCCTGGGGTGAGCGCGGCAGCTGTGGTGCCAGCGAGGCTTGGCGTATGCTCCGCAGCCTTCCTCGGTTCGATCTCTCGGCCCAGCGCCCTCGCCGCAGCCCGCATCGCGGCCTCCGCGCTGGCCGACACCTCCGTGATGTTCCCCGCCGTCGCCTCAGCCATGTCCCGTGCATCGCCAACATACCTCTTCGTCATTGTGGCGGAGTACTCGGCTCCTCCATGGCTGCGCCGAATGATTGTACTCGTTGAATAAAATCCGTCGGTGGTGTGCTTCTTGGCCATGTCCGCTGCTTCTTTCGCACTCTTCATCGCACTCACAGCATTCTCCATTGCCTTGGCCGCTGCGTCCGCAGCTTTGAAAGATCCCAGTGCCACATCCACCGCTTTCTGCGCAGCCAGCTTGGCAGCAGTGGCAGCGAGCTTGGTTAGCTTCGCTGCATCCCGAACTTCCTCGCTGGCCCCCTCGGCCATCTTCTCCGCCTCGAGAGCCTTCGCTTTCGCCTTGCCTGCGTCCGCGAGAGACTGGTTCGCAGCACTCGATGCGCTCCTGGCATCTGACAGAGTGGTGCTTGCCCTGGAAAGTTTTCGGTCGAGCTGATAGCTGCGTTTATGAACGTCGTCCACCAGGTTGGCTGCCGCCCTGATTTGGTCCTTGGGCATATACCACGCCCACCACCCCCACCAGCCCCAGACCTCCCCGACCCTTCGCTCAATCGCACGCGCGGCCGAAGCCGCTCTGACAGCATCGTCTGCGATCCGCCTGGCATCATCAGTGATGTCCTTCATTCTTTTCGTCACTGGATCAGCAAGCGTCGTAGCCTTTAGGGCGTTCTGCGCTGCCGCGCCAGCCAGCTCCGCCGCCTCCTTCGCCCTCTGCACAGCCGCCTTCGCCATTTGCACAGCCACATCAGGAGAGTCGAAGCCTTCATCCGCGGCCGTCACGCACATGCACGCACACAGAAGCGCAAAGAGAGGCGCCAACAGAACGTGGCGTGGCACCATTTTTTTTTTTTT